GATTTTTTAATCCTAAAGTTATTTAGTTAACATTTAAATTTATTCTTCATTTGCATTCAAATTGATGGCATTTTATAATATTTTATTGAAATTTTCTTTCAAAATATCAGGCAAATATTCAACTAAAACATCTATTTTATTAGATCCTTTTGATTCATTTTTATATTTATTTAGCCAAAAAGCAATTTTTTGATAAAAATTTTTAATATTTTTTATTATAAAATTTTCAGATTATAAATCATTTTTCATATCGAGAATTATTTCTTAATTATCTCTATTTTGATTCATTTTTTTATTTTAAATATTATTTATTTATTTACGTATCAGCATGTTAATCATTATATTAATTAAGCTCTCTTTCTTAATTTTCTATATATATTTATAATTTTTCAAAGTATTCTTAGTAATAAAAGTTCGAATTTTTAGCTTTACAGCTTTATTTGAAATTATTTAATATTTAATTTTTTAATTTTTCAAATTATAGAATAATATCTCCTGTAGAATTTCTATTTAATTTAATTTTTTACTAAAAAAAATAAATAAAATTAAAAAAAAATATAAAATGAAAAATTGGTAAAATAAAGAAAAAGAAGAAAAAAAAAAAAAACAAAACAAAACATCGTTATAAGCCTAAATACATTCTTCATAGCTTTTTTAACATTCTCTTTCCATAATATTATCCCAAGCATTTTAAATATTAGGTACTCCTCCTTTTTCATTAATTTATTACACATAAATCTAGAGTAAAGACGCAAACATATTCGAATTTAACACAACCCCATCTATTTCTTTTGGTTAAGCCATTTCGAAGATTTTATTTTTTAAAGTATTAAGTTATTAAACAAATTAAGGTTTTAATTTTTCAACTGGCAAATTATTTAAGTTTTATAAATCTTCCTCATTATTAACTGGTCTAACCATAGTAATACATTCTCTTTATTTGAAAAAGTTAAGCAATGCTTCTCTTATTTTTCTAGAAGTTGTAGTTTATTTCGAAACAGAAGATTCATCAAAAAGGCAATTATTTAAATAAGTATTTGGGTTTATCTAATTATTTTTATTATCCACAATTTCCAATACAAAATCTCTCAAAAGCCAAATAAATTTTGGTGTATATTGACTTATAATTTATTCGTTTTCAGATAATTTGTTCGAGCATTATATATTTTTAGATATTTAAGTAGTTAACTATAATTCTTAAATTGATTTTTCATCTATTGCCCCAACACTATTATATATAAAAAGACTAGACATTAATAATGCTAAACAGAATATCTTCACATCGTATTTCTTATTTCCTTCTATACTAGTACTTCCTTCAGTATCTATAAAAAATATTTACTTATTATTATGAAGAACAGGATGTGACCACATCCAAATTCCTTAAGTACAACTTTATGTAGAAGGATCTACTTTAAACTTTTTTTTTATTTTTATTTTTATAAAAAAAAAAAAAAATACTCCTTATTTTTTCAAATTTAATAATTTATTCATTAAAAATGACTTTCCTGTTCTATATTTACCTGCTATAGCAACAAAACATATGGGCTCTTCATATAATTTTAATATTTATAATGCTTCGTTGTTTATTAAAAATGAATCATTGCTTTTATCATATTATATTATTTATATGGCTTTTTATTAAACTTAATCTTTGCTCTTTTTTATATATATGTATATATATATATTTATATATATGTATATATTATTTGTTACTGTTAATATTTTATTTGATTAGTTTATTTCTATATTATATTATTTTTAGGTTGGAAAATTTTCAAAGTCTTCTTCTTGGTAAAAATTTACTTGCTTTTAAACATCTTTATTCTTATATAATTATACATTTGGCTTTTGATCAGTATATATGTTGTCTTCTTAATATTCAGATTCTGAAAATTATATTTCGAATGCTTCTTCTTATTTAATTTCTTTATCTCTTTTAGATTCGTATGGATTAAAATTATTATATTAAGATGTATATTAAAATGCTGAATACATTTTTATTTATAAATTGATGTTTTTTTATATTTACTTAATTTATTTAATTTTTTTTTTTTTTAAAAAAAAAAATAATTATTTAAATAAAAAAAAAATATTAGTAAAAATATAACTATTTATTTTTATATAATATATTTTAAATATTTATAAAATATTATTATTTATACATTTTTTTTATTAATTTAATTTTTATATTTTTATTTTCTTTTTTTAGATTGGCTATTTCTTAAATTTTCCTTAATATTTTTTTTTTTTTTTTTTTTTTTAAATAAAATAAAATAATAATTATTTAATAAATTAATACATTAATATATTATTCTTATAAAAATTTCTTTCTTAAAAATAATTTATTTAATAAAATTAATTAATATATGTCATAAGTTTATTATTATTTATATCCCTGAATAAAAAATTAATACAACTATTTATTATTATATTATAAAATCGATATATAGCTAAAATAAATTAAATTTCTTTATTAAAATATTATTATTTAAATATTAAAGTTATATTATTTTGCCAAATCTTTCTTTTTTTAAAAAAAAAACAAAAAATAAATAATATTAATCAAAAAAAAAAAAAATATAATCTATAGTTATATGACCGAAAACAATAATTATGGTCAAAAATTTATATTAAAGGGTGTTCCTAAATATACCAAATTATATACTGAAATAAAACAGCAGCTTAAAAATTCAGTATTAATAGAATATAAGAAATCTAACAATAAGATGAATTATCATAATTAAAATATTAAATAGATAAAAACTTAGCTTTCCTGAAAAAAATTCCTTTAAATCAAGAATTATAGAAGGTTCCATAACCCATTTTAAAAATAGGAAATCCGATATATATATATCAGCTAATAAAGACTATGGGATGTTAAAGCCTTCTCAATATGAAATTCCTGAAAAATATTATCCTATATATACGGGAATTTTTACAAAAGAAATCGATTATAATTATAAAAATAATGAATTAAATACAAACTTTACACATTCTAAAGTGCTTAAATAATTAGATGAATATTGAAATATATATATATATGTACAAATAAATATACAATTTTACAAAAAAACTTAACTTTTTATTTACAAAAAAAACTCTTTTTTTTATATATATTAAGTATAATTCAATTTTTTTATATAGGTGCAAATTAAAAAGGAATATTTTTTTTTTATTATTAAACTTATTATTAATCGTTTTTATTCGTATTTTAAATAGGTGCAAATTCGAAAGGTAAACTAGCTTTTTTTCCATTTTTTTAATTAGAAGAATTAGACGATATAAGCCTACTTCCATCCTCACTTTTTTTTTATTTATTTTTATAATGTTATTCCGCCTAATTCATTTCCGAAAGCATTTTTTCATCAACTTAAAAATTAAAAGGAAGTTTAGACAATTTTTGGAAAAAAGAATGGGTTTTTTTGTGTTCTTTTTCCTCATTTTCTTCCGAAAATTCCATTAAACTTTCTTTACTTTTTTTATTTTGTTTTTATTATTATTAACTAATATACTCAGGATTTTTATTTATTTTATTTTATATTTCTTCGATTTTCTTTAAATATCTTTCTTTTATAATTTAAATTTCTAAATTCATTTCATTTTCCAATTTTTTTACTTTATTTAATAACTATTCTAAACTCTCTTCTTTTTTCTCCTCTTTTTTATTCTTCTTATAATCTCCTAAAAGCCCTTTTTCTTCCATTTCTTTTGCACTTTAAACAAAAGCTTCATTTTTGGGCATTTCAATATCTTTTTTAATAACCAAAGTATTTTCATTTATGAAATTTATATCATTATCATCCAATTCCTCTATATCATTTATTTTCCGGAGTTTTTATACTTCTTAATAGTATTTTTTTTATTGACTTAATTCTTATAGATTTTCATCGTTTTATTCTTCTTCAGTATGTTTGCTCTTGTTTTTTTATGAATTCTCTTCATCTTCTTCTTCATTATTTGATATTTTTTCAGGATTATTAAAATTATCACTTTATAAAATAATAAAGAAATTATTTAATTATATATAAATTTTACAATTTATATTATTCAATATATTCAATATTTTCAACAATTAAATCACTCAAAATTTAATGGCAATAATTATTAGATTAAATAATAAATTAATGCTAAATTAATTCCTTTGCACTAGGTCTTTCATTAAAATCTAAAATAAGGCATTTCTTTACAAAATCATTAAATATATCACTCCATTATTTACCATTACTAAGTCCTTATGGAGGCTATTTTTTAATTGCAAACATAGCTCTAAAAGGATGAATATGACTATAAGGAGGTTCTCCTTCAGCAAGTTCAATAGCAGTAATTCCTAATGACCAAATATCTGTTTTATTAGTATATTTTTAATTTCCAAGTACTTCAGGTGACATCCAATAAGGAGTACCTAAATATATAAATATATAAATATATAAATATATATATATATATATATATATATATATATATATATATATATATATATATTTATTTTTTTACCCATAACTGTTTATTTTTCTGCATTTGTATAAATTTACTATGCTGCTACTCCAAAATCTGCAAGTTTTATTTCTCCATTTTAATTTAATAGAATATTTCCTGCTTTAATGTCTCTATGTATAATTTTATTTTCGTGCAAATAAATAAGTCCATTTAAAGCTTGATTTATAATCGAGGAAATTTCTTATTCCGTAAAATTTCTTTTTAAAACTTTTTATAAATTTAATGTACTTCCCCCTTCACAATATTCTGTTATTAACCAAATCGCATTTTCTTTATAAAAAGTTCCAAAATATCCGACTATATTATCATGATGACAGTTTTTTAATATTTATACTTCTTTATTTATTTAAAATATGTCTTCAGAAACTAATATTACTTTTATTGCATATTCTTTTTATGTTAATTTATGAATTCCTTTGAATACTTTTCCATAATTCCCTTAACCTTTATATATTATTTATATATATTTATTTATTATATAAGGGTATTATGTTTAATACATGTATATAAATAAATATATATATATATATATATATATATAAATATATATATATATATATATATATATTTATATATATATTTTATTTTTATTTACCTAATATAGAAACTATATCAAATATTTATTCTGGATCTTCTTAAAATGTAAGGTTAAATTAGCTCATATTTTTTTTAAATATAATAAATATATTAATATTTTTTTTCTAATATATTTTAAAAAAAATCAAAAATATTTCTAAAAAATAATTTTTAATCAAATTATAATTTAAAAAATATTATATAAAATATTTAATTTTTATTATTATAAATCCTCTTTATTATATTTTATTTTATTACAATATTAAAAGATATTAAAAAAAATATATTAATATATTATTTTTTTGGAATTTATTTTCAAAATAAAATTAATATTTTTATATAATCAAAAATTAACACTTGTTTTAAGATAAAAGGAAGATATTAAAATATTTTTTTTATGTAGTTTAATTCGTATATAAAATTACGAATTTTAAATACTAAATTGATCATAAGATATATAAAAATATGTTCAAATGAATATATAAAAGTTACGATTACTACGTGATTGAAAAATTGAAAATAATAATAAATTATATTGAAAATATATTAAAAAATTTATAATATTGCTTTTAAAATAAGTTTTATAAATAACAGTACTAATTCTAAATATTTTAAATAATATATATTATAAAAATCTTTTTAATAATAAATATATGTAATACCTATTAATAAATTATATTTTTTAACTGTATTATATGAAATGTTTATTTATCAATATTATATTCATATATAGATTTCTATTCTTCCGGAATAGATGTAAGTAATATTATAAATATAATAATTCGTTTACATACACTAGAAATGTATAAATATTTCATATCAAGAAGCCGTTTTAGAACTTATTTTATTAATTCATATATACTAATTTTTTTTTAAGAAAAACATAAAAAAAAATGAAAAATAATTAAAAAAATATTATAAAAGGAAATGTTTTAAAAATGGAAGATTTTTTTTGCAAATGAAATATATAATTTGGAATCTAATAAAACTTTAATAGAAGCTATTAAATTCGAAAAGAAATATTAATAAATGAATTTTAATATAAAAGAAAAAAAAAGTATCAGGATTTATTTTAATTTTATTTGCCTTTAATATTCAATATAAATTGTTTTTATTTTATAAATTAAATGGTCAATGAACTCTTTTAACCCAAAATTTATTTTTTTCATACACAAAAAATCAAGCTATTTTATATATATTAGTTAGATTTGAAAAATGCTTTTAAACAATAAAACAATAAAAACAATTAAACAAATAAGAGAACAAGGAGTTATAAAAAATCTGCCTTATATAATTATGATTTTGAAGAAAATAATGATTCATTATGGTTTCGTAAAAAACCATTTTGTTTAGTGTAAAAAACTTTTTAAGAATTCTTGAAAATATATATTTTATAAATACTTTATATTAAATCAGAAATAATTTATTATGATAGATTTTTTTAAAAAAATATATAATAAATAAAAAATAAAAATATAGAGTAAATATGGAAAGTAAAAATAACTATTAAATAAGAATAGTTTAGTAAAATAATAAAATCATACAAATATTATAAATTTTAAAGTAATTTATGTTTATATTAAAATATTTATTTTATAATTATTTCTTTAAAGATTAAATGTTTTAATTATATATATAATAGAAAGATATAATTTTCAAAAAATAAATTATATATATTTTCTTAATTTTTTTTTAAATTAAAATATAATATATATTTTTTTAAAAAAAAATTAATTTAAAAATTCCTTTGATTAAAAATAAAATTTATCTATTATATTTTTATTTTTTTTGTAATAATAATTATAATATGTAAATAAATTTAATTTTTATTTACAAATATAAAGTATAATATATTTAAAAATAAAAAAAAAATATATAATTTTAAATATTTTTTAATTAAAAAAAGAAATGGCATTTTATCTTTGTATTAAATATGAATTATTATTAAAATAAAATCAACTTTATTTTTTTATATTTTTTTATATTATATTAATATAAAAATTGTTTATAAAATTTATTTTAATTATTCACTCTAATAAGGGAAATACGTTCTTACATTCATTAATTAACATTATTATTAAAACAATATAAAGAGTAGGATATATTTTTTAAATAGCTTTAAATTATGGTATTAAACAATAAGGTTTTTAATATATTTTGTAATGAAATATAAATAAGAATATTACATAAATAATATTTACAAATTAAATATAAGGAAAGCATAATAATAACCCATGCCATGCTTTTAAAATAAAAAATATAAAATAAATAATATATAAATAAATAAAATAACAAAAAAATAAATAAATATATAAATATATATATATATATATATATATATATATATATATATTTAAAAAATATATTATATATATAAATTAATTAATAATTATATTTTAAATAAAATTAAGTAAAGAGATTTATAAAAATAATAAATTAAAATAACCACATTAAATTCTATATTTTAAGATTTAAAAATGTTATTTATTTTAATTTAGATATATTATTTATATTTTATTTATTTAAATTACATCCTATAGATAAAGTCCACCAAGGAATATAATTTAATTTATAAATTTAATACAATAGAGGAATCGAAACTAAATGATGAATAAGAAATCCAAATTTCTATTTAGACATTTAAGTATAATTTCCTTCAAGAAAAGTTAGAAACACGTCGAATATATAATAATAATAAGCAAAAATAGTCATAAAATAAACATAATAATAACCTTTTGTTTTTTCGAAATTTTTTTTTACATCGACATTTTATATATCTTTATATGTATAAAAAAATCTATATATAGTTATTAAAAGTAATGGAATCTTTTTTTTTTTAAACAAAAAAAATTTAGTATATTTATAATATATTTATACCACAAAAATTTATGAATATCTTAACCATAAATAATCATTATAATATCTAGCTGTTATTATCCAATTATTTTAAATTTTATAAGGAATCAAAATTTCATGTAATTTTATTAGTTATAGAATTTGGCATATATTATCTTCCATTTTTTTAAAAAAATTAATAATTCAAAATGAAAATTTAATAATTATATTTGTCTTTAAATTTAAAATATTATAATTAAAAAATAATATAATTAATCAATTTTAAAATTCTTTTTCTATTATTTAATATTTATATAGCAAACATTTAATGAATATTAAATAAAATTTAAGATTTTATTTATAGTTAATAACTTAAGGAGCATAAAAAATATATATCAGATTGAAACAAAATAGAAAATTTAATTATATAAACTATTATTTTAAAATAATTTTTATTGAAATATATTTAGTCTACTTTAATATTTACACAATAATAAATATAAAGTAATATTATAATATATTATTATATTTTTTAATAAAATATATAATTATAATATTATAATAAAATTTTCTTATTTAATTAACAATATTTTTTTTTTTTTAATTACAAAATAAAAAATAATTATAATATTTTTTTTTTTTTTTAATATTTATTAATAAATTTAACTATTATATCTTAATAAATATTTATTTATTAAAATATGTAATAAAAAACTAAAGAAGACATCTAAAATTCTATTTAAGTATTAACCAAAAGTTATTTCGAATAAAAGAAGTCACAAAATTATTCAGAATTTTTATTAACAATATACAATAATTTATCAAACGACCCTTAATATTCTACTCAAATTCCTTAATATATATAAAACCTTTAATAAAAATATCCAATAAAATCATGTATTAATTAAATAAAAAAAGGTGATTTATCGTTTTCTTGTGAAGATTGTTCTAAAGATGTCCAAAGTATGCTAATATGTGCTGAATGTTTCCTTGAAGAGGAACATTTAGGACATAAAGTGAGTTATTAAGCAATATATGAGGGTATATGTGATTGTGGAAATAGCGAAACATTACAAAAACAATGTCAAAAGCATTAAGAAAGTCTTAATTACTAAAAAAATTTTGATCAACAAGAAGTTATTTTTTAGGAAGACTTTAAACACATAATGGGATTATTATTAGAAAACTTGATATATAAAAGTAAGGAAGCATCCCCATATATCGAATAATCAAATAATGATAACTAATAAACTTTATATAAGGAAATATTGAACAGATACGGCCAAAATATATTAAGTTTTTTATCTTTTTTTTAATAATCAGAGATTCTAATAGAGGCATAATAAGATATTTTAGTATCTTAAATAGATTAAAAAATAAAATAAAACTCAGAGATAAAAGAAGAGAAGACTTACATAGGCGAATTGTTAAAATAAACAATAAAATTTAAGAAAGAATTATAAGAAGAACTCGTAATTTATCTAAGTAAATTATTAAAAAAGCAAGAAAATAAAAATTTCATAGAAATTCTAATAAAAGAATTCATTTAAAATTTCGATAAATATTTCTATATAGAAAAAGAAAAAAAACGTCTTTAATTTTCGCATATAATAGATCTTCATTTCCAATTTTACACGGAAAATACTGCAAAAATTTTATTTTCATAAAACCTTAATATTTTTTACTAAACAACTTAAAAAATAGTCCAAAACTACTTCCAAAATGAATCTAGATTTGTCTTTAATTCTTTCAATTAAATTAAGTCGATTTTTCTGTTTTTCTGTGAGAAAAAATCTTTTTAAAAATGCTTTAATATACAAGAATTTTCATTTAATATTATTGAGTGTATTTTTATCACCTAAAAAAATTTTTCTCCTTCACTAAGTGATGAAATAGAGAAAATGCGGCTTTTAATAGAATGTAATTTATTGTTAGTCTTTAAAAAAATCATCCATATAATTTATTCATAACAAAATTTTTTTGAGTAAAGAATTTACTATTTAAAAATTTTACTAAAGAAAATACTAAATGAGATCTTCTAACTTAATTTAGACGAAATGCCAGACGAAAAAATCGAGTGGCCTATTCATTTTACTGGTTTTCGTGTTTTAAGTATTATATTAAGCCTCTATATACTAGAAGAAGGCATATAGAAACTAAAACAAATACTTTTAGAAGAATTTTTCGACAAAAATAACGAAAAACTTGAAGTGTTTATTGGAAAAGCGATTAACTTTCCTTTAAAAGCCTTAAATTTTGCTAAAAGAATCGAAAAATAAAAAGTTGGAAACTATTATTAAATGATGAGTGACCCAATAAAATGTATGAAAATTGAAATTATCAACAGTTTTTATAAAAAGAGTTTCTATTCTCAATATGATCTCGATGTTTCTTTAATTTAAATCTTCCTAGGAATTCTTAAAGAAAAGGACTCCAAAATTTCCCTAATGAACATCATATCTTCCACCTATTCCAATATAGACATTAAACAAATATACTTTTCCACACAAGATGAAGCCTATAAAGAAAAATTAGCTCAAGTATTCGAGTTAATCACCTTATTATCAATAAATAGTGTCTCCTATTTAAACTCAATAGCTTGTACAGGGATTTTTTCCCAAAAATTAGATAAAATACCCTCTTATATTAAACATCATTTATACTTTGTTTTAATAAACGTTTTCCATTTATAAAAAATACACGATTTAAAGACTATTAAGAATGCTCTCTTTGATAAAATACTAAATTATTAAATCAATATAGACTAGTTTATTCCTGAAATATCCTATATAATAAAAGATAGTAAAAACTTAAGGCTCAAGGAAGAATTCCAAAATTAATATGAGCCTTACATTTTCCACAAATACTCAAGACTAACTTCGAATTTATTTGATAAAGTGAAAGATATTTGTAATAAAGATTCTTAATTAGATTCCATAATAGGGAATATGGATCTTTATTAGGAAGATTCTTATTTAAGAGTTGTTTTAAATAATATTTTTAGTGATGAATTACCCCGATATTTAATGCTAAGTTTTCGAATAGATGCTTTAAATGAAAAAATGAATAATGTTTTGAAATTTTCGGTCAAGTTAATTGGAATATATTTAAATTTTTGTGAAAAAGAGGCATCTTTTTCTCCTTAATTTGCCCAAAAGTAAACTTTTTAGAATCTCTAAATGCATTTTTTAAAACCCGAATTCGAAAAAAATTAAAAGATATGATAAAAAATCATAAACTTAAAGAAGTAAGTCCAACATTATTTTATATTTAAACAAAACTCTAAAAGTTAAAAGAAATTATAACTCAATAAGAAAAATCTCAAGATTTTTAATAACAATAATAATAAAACTAATAAGAAAAAAATAAATAAATATAAAAATATACCAAATAACAAGAAAAATTAAAAACCTTTTTTAATAAAAATAAGCATCTTTTTCTTCCAAAAATATACATCTATTAAGAGAAATAAATGAAACTTAGTTAAATATAAATTGCTTTTTTTGTCATTTAGACATCTAAATATCTCCTTTTGGCTTTAATGCGTATATATAGGAAGATAATTTGATTATAAAGTAAGTTTTTGGTGATATAGTATTATAAAAATGCTTAAAAGTAATTTCTTGTGGACATTATATACATTAGAAGTGCAAAGAATAATAATTTACTAAAAATCAAACGAATATAAGAATTCTTTTAAATACTAAATTTGATTTTTTATGTATATAATGCAAAAGCCTAAGTAATATTTTTATACCAGTAATTCAAAACGAAATAATTTTCGAAAAATTCGAAGAATTAGAAACAAATAAAATGGAATTTCAAGAAACTACACTAGAACTGAAAAATATACAAACAGAACAAAAAAATGACGAATATCACCATAGTAATTAATTATTTTAAAACCTAAAAGAATTACTTGAAATAAAAAGCGATATTGAACTACCTATATTATTCGAAAAACTTTTAAATTAAATGTCCCATTCATTACTATTATTAGGCTGGAATTATTATTTTCAAAAATCTTTATGTATAAACCAATATTTATTATAAAATATGATATCTTTTATTAAACAATAACTACCAGATATCTAAAAAACAACGTTCTATTATATATAAGAATAAATACTTAAAGAAATAGCCTTTTTAGAAAATAAAAAGGACACTTAAATAGAATAAAAAGAGTTCTATTATTTCTAAATTTTATGGAAAGCAGGTTTCATCTACTATTATTAAAATACACCCAAAAATAATAATAATTTATTAGCTTTATATTCGAAAATTTCAGTCAGTCTTTTTTAGGAAAAACTAGATATTTTTCATTCTGAAAATAATAATTAAAAAAATGACCAAAGCATAAATGAACTTTACGAATTTAATAAAATAGCTTATCTTCTTCCTTTTGTTAAAAACTCATTTGCAACTTTAATATCGTTATTTCCTTTAGAAGAAAAAACCTAATTAAATGAAGAAGATTTTTAATCAGATAATGATTAATATAATTTCATTTTAAAAAAAATGGCATAAATAAACCTCGATTATATTTTTGACTACAAAGCAACAGACTCATAAATAAATACGATTTCTTAAAAAACTTCATAAATAAATATTTATTAATTAAATCTTGTTCGCCTTCCATAAAACCTAGAAGAATTTCGCAAAGTTTTTAACTTAGAGAAGTGCTTTTAATGTAAAAATTACTCCAAATTAGGAAGTCCTTTCCTTTGTTTACTTTGTGAAAAAGTGCTATGCAGTGCTGAATGTGATAACTCAAATTAAACCATGCTTTAGATTTTAGAAGAATATGAAGAAACATATGATCTATATGAAAGAGATGATGATGATGATAAAAATGCATACAAAACACTCCCTAAAAAAACAAGAAGAATGGGAAATTTAAACTAACATGCTATTTAATACCATGCAAAAAATACGGTTTTTTTAGAACTTAAAAACGGTCTAATTTTACTTGTAGGATATCCAAAAAATATTGTGTTTGGAAACTTATATATAGATTCTTTTGGATAAATACCTAATCCTAAAAATTAAAACATTTAAATGTTTAAAATTGACTTAAAATTATATAATTTATTATAAGATGTTATTGCTAAGAAAAAAATTCCTTAAGAAATATGCTATTAATTAATGAAAAATAGTAATATTTTAATTGATAGAGATTACATATGAACTTTTTTGTTTTATTATATATATATATATATATATATATATATCATTATTTTTAGTTTCACATTTAAAATATGTTAATTAATTATTTTATTTTTTTAATAATTTGATAATATCAACATGATTTCCAAATTTATTATATCTATTTTATTATTAATATAAATTAAAATATATTTTATATTTAAAAATAATTTACTTCTTAATAATCTTTTTTTTACTAATCTTCGATTTAGTTTATCATTTCTGACATTTATTAATCTAAATTTTCTTTAAAATTTAATTAATCATATTCAAAATTTATTATAAATTTTCTTAATTATTTTTATTATTTATCAATTTTTAATTATAATGCTTCAGCTTCTTCCTTTTTTAAATTTATAGAATATATATATATAATTATAAAACATTTAAAATTAAATTATCAACTTATTTCTCAATATTATCCTTTATTTCAAATAAAGCTTGCTCATTTTAAAAAGTAATTTCTGCTAATTTCTTTCTTTCTTCTAGTATTTCTATGCAGTTTTTAAATTATTAAACCATGTACTTTAAATTAAATAAAATAACAAAAACTATCAAATTTTCTTTATATATACTTTCAAACGGTATCCATATTTTTTAATTAAATTTTAAACTTAATTAAATTAATTTAAACCAGCTGTTTCCGTTTACTTTTATAATCCTTGAGGTATATCTATATCATTTTCTATATTTTTAATTATATATATACAATATTTTTTTTAAAAAAAAATACTCATTTCATTAAAAACAACTGAGATTTAAGCCATACTTTCTGCTTATTATTTCTTACATCTGAAAATATTATTAAGAATATCAAATAGCTCTTTTGCTTTATGATATTATTATGAATAATAAGCTTAATATTCATTAAATTTGACATCAATATCATCCAAAATCCTTCTTCTTTTTTAATTTGAATTACCAAAAGCTAAACTTATTTTATTATAGGCATTATAAAATACTTAAAAATATCCAGTACTATTCTCTTCTTCTTAATTTCTAAGTTATTAATTATTTTCTTTTTGTATATTATAACCCTTTTTATTTTTATATTTTTTTGTTAAAAAAAAAAAAAAAAAAGGATAAAAATAATATTACCTCTTAAGAATCCATAACAAAAGATTTTAACTCCTTAGTATATCTTAATATAGGATGATTTAATAAATTCTAAAGAAAAATGGTCAGCATAATTTTCCTTTCTTCTAAAAACTCACTATTAAAACTATTTAAATATGAAATTTTTACTAAAACATTCTTTTCAGGTAATGCTGGAATAATAATTCCTGGATATTTATATACAAGCTCCTAATATAATGATTCAAAATCACTAAATCTTCTTTAAACATTATCAATTTCATATTTATTTACATAACTTTATATTGTATATACTGTGTATTCTAAAACAATCCTATTTTACTATTTAAAAAAAAAATATACTAATATAAATTTATTACTTTTCCTATTATATACAATTTTCTTGTATTTCGAATTGCCTATTTTCCATTTTAATATTTTTTTTTATGTTTAATTCTTTTAACAATTCATTTAATGTTTTTATTTAAGGCATTTATTATCGCTAATCTTTTTAAATTAAATTATTCTTTTATGAAATATCTATTTCATTATTTTCATCATTATCAACTATTTCATATGAATCATTTAAACTTTTTTTTTTTTTTTACATTTTTAGAAAAATATTTATATAATATATGTGTTATAATAAGAAATTTTTATTTTTTTAATTAATATAATTAGTAATTATATAAAAATGTATTATTATTTATATATTTTTTTATATAATTTATTATCGCAATAATATATTAATTTTTTTTTAATATGATATTCTTATTTTTTTTAATTTAAAAATATTAACTTATACAATTTTTTTTTAAAAAAATTTATTTGGTTTGTAATAATAAAAAGTATATAGAAAAATAAACACTTATTCATCCTTATTTTTTATTTTATTCTTTCTTAAAACCAAAAGAAATGTTTTTATTAAAAATAAATTTAATTTCTTATAAATAAATTAGTTTTGTTAAATATAAAAAATTAATGAAATAATGATATTTTTATATAATTTATATAGCTAAACTTGCTGTTTTTGAATTCATATAACCCAAAAATTTTCGTAAAAATATTAAAAAAAAATTAGTGAACTTTTATGCAAAGTAATATTTTTTTATTTAAATATTTGCTTAAAATAAATATAAAAAATTAATGTAATAAGAATAACTAATAAATAATCATATAATTACTTTTTAAATATTTATTACTAAATAACAATATGAATAATGAATATACTTTAATTAGTTTTATATTTAATTTTTTCAAAAATTCGCTTAAAACAATGATATGGAAGAAATAAAAAATTTAATATGAATATAATATTACCACAAAAAAATAAAATTAATATTATCCTATGGATGGACAATTAATCATTAGTAAGCTTAAGCTAAAATTTATTAAAAAAAATAAATTATTTCGAAAATTTAATTTTTTATCAGATAAATTTAAAAACTCAGATATCCAACTTAACCGAATTCAAAGTTACAAATCAAATATAGAATTATAAGGCAAAAAAATCTGATTTTAATTTCTATAGTAAAAAGAATTAAATAATTAATACTAATTATTATTATTTTTTAATTAAATAATATTTTATATATATTTATAATATATTTATTCCCTCCTAAAAAATATAAGAAAAAAATATAAATATCTATATATAAAATATCGATTATCGTTTATCGTTTAAACGGATTAATGGGAAATATTCATTTTCATTTTTTCTTAAAAATTTTTTTTTAAGGAAACTATTAAAATAATAATATATACAAATAAATATATTTATTTAAATATTTATTTTTATTAATGATATTGATATGGGAAGTTTATTTTTTTATTATTTAATTTATTATAATACTAAAAATCGAAATATTATTAGGGAGATATTTAGTTTAATAAATAAAATTTTGATATAAAATAAATTATG